CCATCTCATCTGAGAAAGAATGGCTATCATCAAAAAATCAGCCAATAATAAATGCTTGTGGGGCTGTGAGGAACAAGGAATCCTTTTCCACTGCTAGTAGGAGTGTAGACTGGTGAAACCACTGTGGAAATCAGTGTGGAGGCTCTTCACAAAAGTAGGATTAGAGGTCACAGTTAACCCAGCTATTCCTCTTCTGGATATTTCTCCAGAAAAACTGAAAACATCATACCACAGCAATATATGTGCACCCATGTTTATAGCAGCACAATTTGTCATAGCTAAATCTTGGAACCAACCCAAATGCCAATCAACTGAGGAATGGATAAAAACAATGTGGTATTAAAAAAGATAAACTTGAGTCTTTTATAGGAAAGTGGATGCAACTAGAGACCATACTTACAAGTGAAATAAATCAGACCCACATATGTAAACATCATATTTTCTCCCTGGTGTGAGAATATGAAAGAGTAAATAAAATCTGAAAGGTACAATAGATTTTGTGCAAGGGGAAAGAAACTGCTCAAATAGGAAGGAGCTCAAATACAGTTGAAGATGGGGAGAGGAAAAAGAAAGATGGAAGAGAAAAAAATGTATATGTATATACAGGATAGCTAGGATAATTGTACTATTAATATCTTTTGGTTTATTGAAAGAAAATGCTAATGTGTAACTGGTCAATCTTACATGACTATATCTGGTTCTATGTGCACCCATTTTGAAGATAACATTATGTAATATAAGAACCATTGTTAATATCCTATCACCATGTTTTGAAATTCTGTATCTCTATGATGTTTTGTTTATGTATTTGTTTTTTTTTTATTTTGGCTTTTTCTTTTTTCTTTAAAATGAAAACCTAAATTATATGTATATACAAGGATAGCTGGGATAGGCGTATTGCTGATGTTTGTGGTTTATTGAAAGGAACAGTCAATGCTTAATTTTTTTTTCTTGACCAATTTTGCATGCTTGAATCTGGTAATCAGAATGACTGATCTGAAAAACAACAGTATGCAGTATAAGAACAATTGTTGAACTCCCACCATCTTGTATGGTGAAGCTCTGCATCATTTCCAATTTTTTTTTTTTACGTGTTACTGTCTTGGATTATTTGATCAATCTTACATTCTTATGTCTGGTGGACTGAGTAACTTTGTTGAAGATAACAGTATGTAATGTAGCAACCATTGTTAATTCCTATCATTTTATTTTGAGGTCATGCATCGTTTTTGCTGTTGTTTTGATTTTGTCTTCCTTGTTGTTTTGTTAGTTTTTTTAATCTTTAAAATAAGAAAAGAACCTGAAAGAGTAAATAAAACCTGAAATGTACAATAGATATTGTCAAAGAGAACAAAATTGCTCAAAGTGAAGGAACAACAGGGATGAGGGAAAGGAGAAAAGAAAGAAAAAAGGAAAGGAAAAAAATACATATGTATATAGAAGGTTAGCTGTGATAATTGTACTGTTGATGTCTATTGGTTTATTGAACAGTTAATGCTTAACTTTCTTCTTCACCAATTTTGCATGCTTATATCTGGCAATCTGAACAACTAATTTGAAGACAACAATATAACCATGGTAGAATTCCTACCATCTTGTTTAGTGAAGCTCTGTATCATTTCTAATGCTTTAAAATTATTTTTTATTCTCTTTAATGGTTTGATCAATCTTGCATTCTTACATCTGGTAATCTGAGCAACTTTGTTGAAGATAACAATATGTAATATAACAGCCATGGTTAATTCCTATCTTGTTTTGAAATTCTGCATCATTTTTATTGTTTTTGTTGTTTTGCTTTTGTCTTTGCTGTTGTTATTTTGTTATTGTTTTTTTCTCTTTAAAATAAAAAAGAATGACAATTCTAACATACGGTACAACATGGATAAACTTTAAAAATATTATGCTTGGTGAAATATGCCAGTCACAAAAAAGTAAAATACTTTATGACTTCACTTACATGAGATACACATAAAATAGAATACGAGGTACACATAAAGTGGCTTCCAAGGGAGAAGAAAATAGGAGATTAAAGTTTAACAGTTATAGAGTTTCAGTTTTACAGCATGAGATGAGTTATGGAAATAGATGGTGAGAATGGTTACATAGCATTATGACTGTATTTAACATCACTGAACTATTAAAATGGTTGATGTTATAAGTTTTCTGTGCATTTTACCACGAAAGAAAAGCTGTCTGGGGAGGGTACTAGTCATTAAGAATTAACTTCATCAACTTATTTTATGGATCTACTTCAAAACTTCTTTAGAGCATTACCCAAGTATCCACACCTTTCTGAGAGAACATTTTGGCATTTAACTATCCCATAGGGGAAAGAAGTGTGTTTTCAAATAATAAATCTGTATATAAATTCAACTTTATGACTTAATCATGATGAAACTGTATCAATTTCTCTGAAATATATATTTATTTTTGCATAATTATTGAGAATATATTTTCTTCCTAAACATGAATGGGTTGCTACAAATGTTTTTTTACCTTAAGTGAAAACTGCCATCACTAAACGAAAGTGTGAGAGCAAGCCTATTAAACTTTTTCACATTTCCTACATAATAAACACTTGTTTGATGTCAGACGTTGAAATGATGGATAAGAAAATTGTGAGTTGGAATTGGAGAAATAGAAGTATTTTGTGCTCTCACCTTTCTTGTAAATGACCTGAGAATATAGGAGTCAGAAATTCAATTATAGCAACTCCCTGTACTAAAAGGAAGGATCCGGGCTGGGGATTTAGCTCAGCGGCGCAGCGCCTGCCTGGCAAGCGCAAGATCGTGAGTTCGATTTCCGGTACCAGAAAAAAAAAAAGAAAAAAGAAAAAACTAAAACGCAGGATCCCTTTCAGATTCTGTATCTATAGAATTCTTGTTTGTTAGTTGTCTTATGTCTTTATGGTGTATGACTTTGTATTTCTTAGAGAGAATGAAAGTCTTGCACAACAACTAGAGATAAATGAATCCTTATTCTTTTTTGAAGGCTCCTTTGACTAGTTTTGTGACTTGAAATGTACCTTTAAATATCTTGAACCCTTCTTCGTATGTACAAAAAAGGAATAATAATCTCTAACCATGGGAACTACTGAAGATGTACCAGGATAACAGTAATCAACTAAAATATTAAGTTGTATTAAACATTTATTTTTAAAATGGCATGTTATAAATTAGTAAAAAAAAAGTGTAAATCTCATTGGAATATGAGAGACACTTCACAGAGTGATGATAAAAACCACAGAAATTGTAACCAAATAAGAATAAATTAAACCAATGACATTTTTCCATCTATATGATTGATAGCAATTGAATATGTGCCATTTTTAATATTAGGAAACTACAGTTAACTGTCATCTTAGGGCCACTTAAAATTAATTAAAGTAAACAGACTGATAACACTTAGAGACAAATACTGGTGGGTTTGGAGCTAACCTGGTGGCAGAGGGACTTTGAGAATTTTTTTTATTTTGTGCAATTCACCAGAAGCTTTTAGGCAGCTAATGCTATAGATGATCACACAAAAAGACAAGTATCATCAAGAGGTTTCTGCATGAAAAGACGAAGGTAAACGGCATGACTTATGTCTTTAACACTGAAGGTTACACACTGAATAATAATATGTTCACTGAATTCCACAATTTGGAGTGAAGTGGGGAGTAACAAATTAACTAGCCGTTTTACATGACTTTTTAAACACTGAAGTTATTATCCTACATAGATATGAGGATATTATACAATACAAATGCATATTGGTATCAAATAAATACAAATGGGATTTATTGGTGTCAAATAAATACAAAAAAATACAACTGGTATCAAATACAATTCAAATGCATATATTGGTATCAAAAAGAAGAACGTAATGTGAAAAGTAGCAAACAAACAGAAATTAAGGTGGCTTAATAGAAGGCTTTTGTAAGATCAGACACATACATGGTGCCTTAATTACTTTCTTGCTACTGGGACAGAATACCCAACACCAGTTAAAGGAGGAAAGGTTTACTTTAATTCACAGTTTGTAGAGGTTTCAGTCCAGAGTTGACTCTAAGGCAGGGCAGCAGGGCAGAAGGACATGGTAGAGGAGAAACAGTTCATGGCAGGGCAGGCAATAGGGAGGAAGCAGTAGCAGTAAGCCTCCCTTTCCCTTTTATTCCATTCAGGCTACAAGGCTATTGGTTAGTTTCACTCACTTGCAGGGTGGGCCTTCCCTTTATCCACACTCAGAACTATGCTAAACCAACTAGTGGACTAAAGTAGTTATCACACACCCTTAATCCATATTACTCACACACACTAGGTCCAGCTATCTCCTAACTGCCCCACTTATGATGCATGAAGCTTTGGGGAGACATCTAGATACAAACTATAACACATGGATTACCAATTAAATATTATCAGTTACAAGTGAAACCTAGAATGGTTAAAGTGTCATGCTCTTATTTAATTTAGAATTGTTTTTATTGTAGATTACTGAGAACAACCAGGTGTTAGCACTATGATATACAAATATTTTTCTGTTTGTCTTTGTGGCCCTGGAACTGAGAACTCTAAGTGCCTGTCTAGAAAAGCTCCATGTCCCTACTCCTTTGATAGTAGTTCCCAGTGACAATATTTGGAGGATGATATTTTGGGTTCTCATATTGGTAACAATTCTAAGGATTAGAAACCTCTCATCTTACAATTAAACAGAAGCCATAAGCCAGCACAAAAGTAAAGTCATAGGGGAAAAAATACTTAAAAATGTAAGACCTCAATTGGTTATTATATGTGTGAAAAACTTTGATGCATTTGTTCATATGCTCTTCTCCATAACCATTCCACATTTATCCCATAGAAAAGGCCACTTTAGATGGTACCCACTTCATTGTCAATCCAGAGTAAGTATTTTACTGGGATGATTCTTGGTAAAAAAAAATTTGGCCGGTGTGGATGTCATAGTTACTCACAATACCTGAACTGAGCTCTCTTCCTGATACTCTGCCTCTGTGTTCTCAGGACTACTGGCTCTCACTACTTTACAAGCGCCTGATTGGCCCCAAAGTCTTGGCAGTGCATGTGGCTGGGCTCCAGAGGAAGCCACGGCCTGGCCGAGTGATCCGGGACAAACTAAGGATTTATGCTCACTGCACAAACCACCACAAGTAAGTCCTCATAAAAATGGAACAGAAAGGCCATCCCAATGGGTTTCAGCCCCTGAGAATTCTATGCCATTTGGAACCTCTTCAAGAATTATCTGTATTCACTGATATTAATTGAAAACTGCCTCTGGAGTCACCATACACTGCAAGTTTCACATGGTTCTGACAAACACACTTTTTTCCAGTTATACCTCTCTTTTCATACTTACAGGATCTATTCATAAAGAAATTTATAGTGGGGCCGGGATATAGCTCTACAGCACAGTGCCTGCCTGGCAAGTGCAAGGTCATGAGTTCAATTCCCAGCACCAAAAAAAAAAAAAAAAAAAAAACAAGAAAAAAAGAAAGAAAGAAATTTATAAGATACATGCTATTTGTTCATCTAACAAATTTTTGCTGGGTATTTTCTCTGTGCCAGTTGACATAAAGTCCATGAAGTTTTTTGTGTGCCTAAGCCTAAGCCAAGGCAAAGGCCATGTCTTGTCCTACAATCCACCCACAGAGCTTAAGAAAAAGGTGTCCAATTATAAAACGCATGCTGAGAGCTGCACTAAGAGGAACCTAACTCCAGACCAATGTGTCTCAAACTGGGTACCCCAGAACTAGAAGAGTGCCTGAGGATAGCTTTAGAGCTGCTTTCATTACTACAAAAAAAAGAAAGAAAGAAAGAAAATCTTCTCAGCTATTTTGTGTTAAGAAGATAAATCAAATGTAGGCTTTCTTTTAGAGATGGGGGATGGGTAATGAGGAAAAAGATCCCCAGAGGTATAACATTCCAGTGTGGTAATGTGTGGTTATCCTTTTTTTTTTTTGAGCTAAAGCACTCGTGGTCATTTAGAGTTGTCTTTAAAACAAACGGGAAAATTAGCGATCAGTAAATAAACAGATAAAAAAAGTTTTAAAATATGAAGACTATGAGAGAAAATTTTAAAATTGTTCTTAAAGTAAAACCCATCTGGTCAAATATGTCTTTCTGACATCACTTCCTGTTTAAGGAGAGCAGGCTGCCCTGGATAAGACAACTTTCTCTTACTGTGCAGAAAACCTGGGAGCAGAATTGTGGCAGATTCCTCCTGCCAGACCTCTATCCCTGGGCCTGTCAAGCCTATCAGGGACTGATCAAGGGGAGGGGAAGCACAAAGAGCTGTGTGGTCAGATTACACCAGATGCTTCTTCTCAGTCCTTGATGAGACAGGAGCCAAGCCAGCTAATTCCTCATGATAAGCTTTTTCAAAGAATAACTCCGAGCAAAGGGGGGCAAACAGCCAATTGTCTTGCCTGTAGATACAAGTGCCTATTGTAGGTGAGGGAAGGCTGGTTTGGGCAGAGGCCAGAGGCTTTCAACATCCCTTTTGCTCAGCAGGAAGCTCAATCCCATACCTGACAGGGTGACTGCTGTATGGCCTTGGCCTGGAGTTATCTGATCATCACACAAGGGAACATTGTATTCCTTGTCTCTGCCTACCCCTGAGGTAACCACCCAAATGGTAGACACCCAGCCTCAAGAGAGAAAAATTGCTCTTGGCACCTTCTGCCCCTATTGGAAAATATACCAATCTTTGGCCTTTATACTACTGTTCTAGGGACCTAAGAAAAAAGTGTCTGGCACCATATGGGTTTAGCAGGATTTGTATGTCTTCCCTACATATACTTAGCCTGATGTTCATCCAAGTGTTCTTTGACATTCTCATGGGAAGTTGTTGCTAATGTTCTAAGTACACCATGTACTCAGGCCAGCATTTTATTCATTTTTATATTCTTAGTATCTCATATTATAAGTAGCATGAAGGTCTCATAAATATTTGATAGATGGATGAATGAATGAATGCAGAAATAGGGCATCAATATGTTACTACTGACTTATAATTTTGCTGTTTTCCTCTGTGATATCACCAAGAGGAGATGGTGTGGTAGAGTTGCTAGTTATACCATTCACTATCATGCGCCCTCGACAAATTAGTAAAATCATCTGGATTTGGAAACTCCAGATGGGATACCACGAGGTTCCTTTTAGTACAATCTCTTCACTTCCCCATTAAAAAGAAATGAGCAAAGGCTTTCATAATCCATGGATCATGAATTATGTCATATATGACCCATAAAGATAAAAATTGAGGCAAAGATCCTAAACCCATAAAGCATACCTACAATGGAGCCAGCTAAGGTTACACATCTCCTCCACATAGCAGGTGTCAGGTGCCTAGGTAGGTATTCACAAGAATAGAGGTGTGTCTGCACTCTTCTCTGGGAAGCCATGTGCCTTATCTGTGCCCTACATTCTGTATAATGGTCCTAAGAAATCACTACTGATTCATTAATTTATTTGTGGCCAAAGAGGTTAAAGTCAGAATTGACCAAGAGTGGGCATGTTGGCTTCATGCTAATCAGCTTTGACCATTGCTCTAAAAATAAATATTCTGAGTCAAGGGCAGGGGATATAGCTCAGTGGCACAAGCGCGCCTGGCAAGTGCAAATTCGTGAGTTCGATTCCCGGTCAAAAAAAAAAAAAAAATTCTGAGTCAAAACAGGAATTGGATAAGAAAGGAGAAACTTAGTAACAGAACAATGCAAAGGAAGTGTCTTTCAAAAGAACAACTGCACTCCAATGTGTATTGAACATTTGCTATGTAACAAGCACCTTGCCAGGTATTTGCATTTATGTTATCTTCCTGAATTCTAAAGGTTCTACCTTTAGAGTCATTTGGCCCAGCACCCTATTGCACACAAGACGTCCTTTTCCTTCTTTCTGACAGTCATAGAACATCTACTTAGAGACCTTACTGCCTCTCCTGGCAGCCTCTTGCACTCTGGGTCACTTCTGACCTACCAGACCCTTGTTGCTTGTAGTTGATTTAGAAGACAAAGTTAGGTGCTCATATCAACACCAGCAGGTGCTTTTCTGCTTTCCACTCTAGAGTTCACAAATTAAGATGCTAGAGTTAACAAATTAGCAGTTCTCACCCCAGATCTTGCTCAGAGAACAATCAAGTTTTAACAGAGAAACCTTTTCTTATGAACCATTCTACTGAGACAATGTATGTTTGTGGGATGGAGCTGAGGTCTGTAGCCAAGTTCAGAACCAATTGGAACCTGGTGGATGTTGAAGCAAAACTGGGCCTTTTGGGGTTCAAGTTAGTTTACTATTGGCAAAACACAACTTCCTGTTTTTCAGAAGAAGTTTTTTCAAAAGCTCATAAAAAAGGTTCCTGAGGCTTCTTGGACATCAAATGACTCTTGCAAAAAAAATATTTTGATGACTTAAGTGTAAATGAATCAGAAACATGTGGATTAAATTTCCCTTAAAATACACAGGGGCTTTGAAATTAAGGGGAAAAAATGTTTGGCAAAACATGGCCTGACTTTTACGGAACCCAAACCTTTGAATTAGATTTGGATATAATGGACCAACCCAGTGCTCAAGCACATTGACTTTCACTGGAAATGACCATGGGCTGCAAAGCATCATCCTCCTTTCTGTTCCCAGACCCCCAGCCTCACTGGAGATATTTCTACAGCAGGACTGTTTTCTATCTGGTACTCAAGATGCACCACCCACATGACATCTCCCACCTCTTATAGCAAGGATATTCCAGTTCAAGTTTCCCTTCCCTGACTCACTTCCTCCTCCTCCCATGGCAACACAGAGAAGACATCAAGCAGGAAAAGAACAGCCAGCAGAGATGAACTCCAGATACATGGATTGGCTGCTGGTGAAAAAGAGCAAGATGGACGTTCTATCCAGACAGCTTCTCTCCAGACAAGGCCATTCACAACGGTGACTGAAAACCACCTGGACTTGACATCAGGTGTCAAAAATGGCCCACTGACCAAGCCTTAGGACACCATTTTCTTAAGGAACAGACACTCCTACAGGATTAGTTTTCTGTGGGCAGAAAATACACATTCTTCAAGAATCTGGAGTCTCAACACAGTACTCTTAGGTTGATACTGTAACCAGCAGCCAAGAATTTACCTTCCAGCCAAAAAGTTTCTGTTTCATGTCCTTGCCTATCACAAGCAGGATGAGGGATAGCTCAGGCAGTCTTGTCTTCAGTGCCAGTCTGCCTGAGGAGGGCCCAAAAGGTCTGTGAGAACCTTCCACGTTTGTCCTGGCCTGTACTGGTTTGTCTCCCCCAGGAGAACTGTGTAAATGGAGATCAGACCATTGCCAAGCAGCTTGAAAAGACAGCCTTCCCCGCAGCGGTGCTATGATTTCAAATGTCCCTCCCACCCACCACTTCCCCACAGCCTACCCTTCTCTCTAAAGCTCTAAGGGCTCATTCTGCCCCAAATCTGTTGAAGAGAAACTCGTAAATGCAAGCATGTGGCTCTCTCCTCTCTGATTCTGGCCTTGGGAGTATTATTTGATAGTTGCTTGCAAAAGGGTTTACTTCAATCTGGCAAAACTAGTACCCATCCATGCCTATTTTGCTCACACCCTGAGGCCCAGAGTACAGTAATGATCTCTTCCTCAAGTTTGGACATATTTTTAGCTAAACTGAAAGCCCATCAATGGAATCTAGTTGTTCTAGTGATGGTCAGTGACAGCACAGACTGTCAACATCTTTCTCCAGAGCTGCGGTGACACATGTCTTCTCAAATCTATTGGCATTTTCTTCTGATTCATTTTGCTACAGTAGCTAGTTAACATGGGATTAGAAGGGGCTGCAGGAGAGACTACACAGGAGAGACATTTTAAGAATTTGTAAATTTAGGCATCTAAAAAGCTTTAAACACAATAATGTGCAAGGTACAAGAAAATACTCTGATGCACAGCCTGCTGGTATTCTAGGAGTTCTTCTCATAACCTTAATGGGTTGTTCTAAGTAAGTGTTTCCAAACCCAGCTTATTGGCCAAATAGCTCAGAAAGATTTTAAAATACAGATTCCCAGGCCTGGAGCTTAAATGGATTGAATCAGAATTTTCAGGGAAGAGCTCTGGAAACCATACCTCCCTGAAAAATCCCAAGTTATATATTGACCTGCCCTTGGTTGCTAAACTCTTAATTAGCACCTTTAAAAGCAGAGATCAGTGATCCAAAGATCAAGGGGTGATGCGTCTGCACAGAACGGTGTTTCCCTTTGGACAAAGTTGACTTAGAGTTTCTCCAAGCTTCTCCTTTGAAGGCAGGGCTGGGTCGTTCTTTCTGTTTCCTCTCATTAACCCATCCAGATGGGGCCTTAAGGGACCCCTTAAAAACAAGGTCTTTTTTCCTACAGAGAGAAGGAAATCATTATAGTTCTGTTGATACATGCTGAAAAACTCTTACATGTAGGCATATAGTTCTCCCAGGCTTCTGGACATCCTGTACTGGTTTAAAAGAATCCCAAATGGTGAATAGTTTTATAATCTTGGGGTAGGTAAAACAGAAAAAGCAGGAATCGAAAAGATAAATTTGACTACATAGAGTTCTTTTTAACCTATATATATCAGAATACAATGTAAACTGAAATGGACAAAGACAACTGTGGGATAGTTTTGCACCATGCATATATACAAAAGATTTCTATCTTTAACAAATAAATCGTGTTTATAAATCAAAAGAAAATGGCCAAAAGACATGAACAGGCAGTATATAAAAGAAGAAATAAAGTAGCAGATGGGCAAGTGAAAAAATGTGGCACTTCAGTATGAACTGGAAAAAAATACATACTACCACACATTGAGACCCCATTTTGACCTCTCACATCAGTGAGGATATTTTAAAAGATTAATTTTTATATTCTTAAGGATATGAGGACATTGGTGCCATCATACAGACCCAGTAGAAGCAAATTCCTAAAAAAAAACTTTCTGGACAGTTATTATTTTCAAAATGTGTGTATCCATTAGCACAAGCGAGGTTATGCTGTGATAACAAAGAACCCTCACATATCCGTGACTTTCAATAAGGAAATTTATTTCTCATTCACACTACTTGTTCATCATGGTTCAACTATAGCTCTCCTCTGCCTCATCTTCATTCTGGCACCTAGATCAATAGCTCAGTTTCTCTCAAAACAATTGTCAGCCTTCTGGCAGAGGGAAAAGAAACACAGTGAAACATAGCAAAACATAGGGGCTCCTAAAGCTTCTGCACAAAAGTTTTAACATATCTTTTCACATTTTACTAGCAAAGCAAATCATGTGGTCCCTTTCTGTTTCAGTAGAGCAGGGACATAAAATCTTCCCACAGATAGAACCACCACAGGGAATGAACTAGAAAAATGAGTGAGAAAGCACACAATGCACATTCCCCCTTGACCTAGTGACTACAACTTCTAGAGTTTTAAAAACCCAAAGTAACCCTGATGTGCAAAAAGTTTATGTAGAGTGAAGTCTTTCATGACAGAATTTATTATGGCATAAATTGAAAACAACACAAAGTCAAAAGTAGGGGACTAACTAAATAAATTATATTTCATTGCTATTATTAAAAATTCTATTCTTCTGCAAGTAGAATACATAATAACTTGAGAACATGTTTAAAATGTTCATTAATTGAAAAAGAGCCATGTAAATACTGTGGTACAAGTTATATAAAGACAGTAATATTTGTGTATGTGTCGAAGTACTTAATAAATATTTGTCAAATTAGTAACAAAAAATACTTGGAGGAGTGTTTACCAAAATGTTATATCTCAAAATTCTGTAATTATGGGGAATTTTATTTTCTCCTTTGTTTTTTAATCATGTTTTACATTCGTATTCAGAAAAATATGATTTTTCTTCTAAAATCACTGCAATAAATTTAAACAAGAATAGAAGGAATGTGGTAAGAAGCGGGTATCTTCTTTTCAGGAAACCACAAAAACAAGACCTTCATGTTTGAAGGTCTGTTGTGGCCAAGATCCATAAAACAAGAGCCATCTTCTGGGGTGGTCCTATTTTGTGCAGGCTATATATTATTTAGGTGGTGCATCTAACTGGCCACTTTCTCTCTCTCTCTCTCTCTCTCTCTCTCTCTCTCTCTCTCTCTCTCAGTCACAACTATGTTCGAGGCTCCATTACACTTTTCATCATCAACTTGCATCGATCAAGAAAGAAAATCAAACTGGCTGGGACTCTCAGGGACAAGCTCGTGCACCAGTATCTGCTGCAGCCTTATGGGCAGGAGGGCCTGAAGTCCAAGTAAGTACAGGCCTGGAAATATATTGTTTAGGAGCAAGTGAAGAATAGTTTAAAAGTTGAACAGGGAGGCAGCTGAAGTCACCCTTTTGCTAAAGGGGCCAAGGTTGCTACTAATTCACTCAGAGGCCCAGTGGGATGGAGTAAGACAAAGGATGGTCTAGAGTCAGGGAACTGCTGATTTCCTTTCGGATCTTGGTCAAGTTCTTCTCTGTCTCTAGGCTTAGAGTCCTCAACTTTAAAGTCAAATTTTGGGCAGAACATTTCCCAACAAAGTTATTCTTGGTATTTGAGCAAAACACTTTTTCACTATGCAAGATTAGTACATTGCAAGCCATTTGGCATTCTTGGAAACTGCCCATTCAACACTAACTGTGCCCTTGGTCATGTGACAACCCAAAATCCTGGTTGAGAACCATGTCCCTTCCAGCAATAATGTTCTGTAACACTATGGCTCCCTTTTTATCCGCACATTTCATGGGGCTTAGAAGAAGATGAGAAAAGGGTCAAAAGTTCAGAGAGTTCTTCTCCCTCTAACTGTATTCCTTGGATATGTCACTGCTTAATCTCAGTTTCCTCATCTGAACAATAGGAGGCAGATTATATTCTGGGGCTTCTGTGGCCCCTGCAAACTATAAATATATGAATCTGTACCAGGAGGCTATTGGCAACAATGATCTACCAACAGAATGCAGCTCTCAGATACAGCGAGATGGTGCCTCATCGAGGAAAGGCCAACCCAGCTCCCCCAACAAGGCCTCTCAGGAAGGGCATGGGATGCTCTGCAGTCTGGGGGCGTTCCCATTCCATTTTTAATGTTTACCAACTATAACAAAGCTGTAAACTTGGAGCAGGTGGCTTGCACTCCCACAGCTGCCCACAAATATTTGTGCTATAATTGTTCGCTGTTTCACTGCAACTTTGGTGGCTTGCATTTGGCTCCCAACTGTATGTACAATGGGAACAAAACACAGTCTGGGAAGTCACTTACTAAGTTCTTTAGCCCACCCTAGATCTGTAGTTTCACAGACTGGCTCTTTTTTCTGGCTACATGTACGTGGCTTCTCCTCTTCTTTCTTAGGAGGAAAGAAAAATATTTTATTCCTCTCTTTTTCCACTTCCCTGTAGTTCACAATGGGCATGCTCAGTTCACAGCCTTCAAGTCCCAGCTTCACCGCTAATTAACTGTATGACCTGGGAAGAGTCATTTACCCTTATTTCCTGGCCTCAGTTTCCACAGCTTAAGAATTCAAGGTTTGTTATATATTTGGCAAAGTCCATTATAGCCCTAAAATTCTCATCCCAATTCTGATTTTCTGAGGGCCATAAATGCGTTTAAGCCTCCTGCTACCATTCAATAATAACCTGCAAAGCCATTTCTGGCAGAAGAGCTGACTCCTTAGCAGTGATTGTAACAAAACAAAGTCTCCTGAAACCAAAGAGCTTAGGTGGGGAGTATCAGGAAAAGACTTCCTGAGGGTGTAATCTAACAGGTCAAAACGGCAATCCCTGCTCTGGAAGTTATGTAATCACTGTGAGCCTCAGTTTCCTCTCACATGGAGCAAAGTAAACACTAATTTATGTAAAGATCCTGACACACAGTAAATGCTCAATAAATGTCCAGTGTCCTCCTTTTCCTTGACTCGGGACTCTAGCTTCTTAGGGAAAAGAGGAAACAGTTGCTCTCCCTAAAATTGTTGTTCAAAAGAAGAGTCACCTCGAATTGAAAGATAATATATTTTTAAAATATTTTAAGATTAACATATATTAAAAAGCATTCTGAATGTTATATAGAACCAAATAGAATAACGGGAGGAGATGGTAGTCAGAGAGCAGCATCTTTCAATAAATTCATTTTCCACCAAGCAAGGACACAAATTTCCAATTTATTTACCCCATCCCTATGTGTTAGCCTCCAAGAATATTCCTCTTCTGGGGGTTCTCTCAGGAAGGGTGTGGCTACAGTGAAGCAGACTATGCAGAAAAGGATGAAAGGAAGCCAAGCACAGTGGTGCACACCTGTAATCCCAGCACTTGGGAAATTGAGGCAAAATGATTGCTACAAGTTTGAGGCCAGCCTGGGCTACGTGGTAAGTTCAAGGTCAGGCTGAACTACATAGTGAGATACTGTCTCCAAAAAATGAAAGAAAGGAAAGGAAGCGAAAGGAAAGGAGAGGAGAGGAAAGGAGTGGGAGGGAAGGGGAGGGGGAGGGGAGGGGGAGAGGAGGAGGAGGGGAGGGGAAGAAAAGAGAGGAGAAGAGAAGAGAGGAGAGGACAGGAGAGGACAGGAGAGGAATCAACTGAGCCCAAGTTATAAAAATCTCCAGTGTCTTTCAACAAACAGAAGCAATATGAAGCTGGACCCAAAGTCCCAACTTAAATCCAAAAATAATAAGCCTCACTTTTCAAGGGAAAAGTCAAACTTAAAACAGGTATTAGGTCAGATCCTAGGTTCTTCTATATATATCTTATTTAATTCCGTTTCAAGGGAATACAATCCAAAAATTAGGAATGAAGGAAACAATTTTCTTCACCTTGTTGGCTTTAACACACTGACCTGAGTGAGCCTGCAGTTGCTAAGACTCTTGAGATAGAATAACATTTTGAAGTGATATGGTATCTTCACCTGACCTCAGACATTCTGTGACTAAGCCATCTAGACCAGAGGATATCCCCCAGGTTTGTGACCTCTGGTCACAATTTCAATCTGTCCAAACACTTTGTTTTACCTGTTATTGTGATTTTATGGATCATAGCTTTAATAACCATTCTCATTTAACCTTGTGAACAATATTATGAAAATATAGAACCTTGCTTCTTACCACTTTAAAGAAACTGAGTCACAATGAACTGACATTCAAGAGTCACACAACTAGTAAGTGGAGAATCTACAAACCGCTCAGCATTCAGTTCTCCTGACTCCTAGTCCTACACCGTCCTGCTCCAATAATCCAGTGATACATGCTCAGGATTACAGAGGGCTAATATATGGGATGAATAGCTGAACTCTGCCATAATATTGTCTGTTCACTTCATTTTAAGAGGTCAGGAATTATAAGTATTTGATTTATCTGAAATAAATTCAGAATAGGAGAAATCTGAATTTAAAGTTCAATGTGAATGCCTCGGATTAGAATGTCCCTGGATCTTCCTAATCCTAGGCTACATCATCATGTGGCCTTCAAGGTATAATGTGGAGCATGTAGGGGTATGAGTAGGGGGAGGGGACTCTGAGGTCGTTGCCCTTGAGGAGATCATCTGTATTTTTAGTACCTAACAGAAAGCAGTCTGTCAGGGATGCCATAAGAGAGGTGCAGAATGTTTCTGCTTTGGAGTTAATTAGTTCCATATTAATGTTTAAACTGCATAAGCACATGAAGCTCTTCTTTAGCCACTATATTTTTTACCTGAAAGATTCTCAAGGTCCCTGTAAACATAATCTTACTGCCTAGTCTGTGAAAAAACATAGTCTTTCTTATTTTTCTACATATTTCTCACTTTATTCATCTCTCTAAGATATAACTTTTGCTTTGCTTTTGCCCTCATTAAATCCTGCATCAAAGAACATTAGTATCTAACTTCATGAGGTTACGGAGGTGTCATTTGACATTAACCAAACAGAATGGTTCTGAATGTAGTCAAGTAATATCTAGGTGCTAATACTTTAAAAACTTCTTCCCATACCTGTTGGCTAGTGTGAAAGGTCCTGAGTACCAAGCTGGCCACTTCCTGGCCTATCAAAATCTCTCAGTCATAAATGGGAACACCGCAGTGCATTTGGACGTGAAGAGACCTGGCAAGTGTTTCCATTTTATATAGATACATCTATTTATCTTTTGGTTTGTTGTTTCTTCCATTCCACTTAGATGCATATGCATTTCTATTCCTCCAGTCAGATAAATATGCGTCTCTGTTCCTTCTTGTTTCATTTTTTGTGTTCATTTGCTTATTCCATTTGGAATTTGTTTGATGTGTGATAGGAAGTAAGGAACCTCAACAGTTGTGATGCTTACACTGAGTGTGTGAGGAGAGCTATTAACCCATGAAGGCCTTCAGGTGTTGGTTTTTAAATATGAGCAGGGGAAAGTATTATTTTTCTAACACAAGCTTAGAATGAAGACCTCTTTTATCTTGGGAAAAGGGTCCGGCTGGCAGATGCAGCCACGTCAGCTGCTACACTTTGAAAGGCTATTCAGAACCTCCTCAGGAGAAAAGGCTGCCGAAGCTGGGAGCGCCAAGTGGCAAGAAAGGTGCCTGGAACTGGGGAGATTTATGAGCTGACTGAGGGAACAGGAAAGTAGTCCTTCCTCTAAACATTGACTTTCAAGTCCGTGTTGCAGTAAAGAAAGTCTGAAACAGACACTGTAAAAAAGCAGGAATATATATGTGAGTGTACATATTTATAAAATGTTAAAGGTTCTGAAGGCAGCCTGTAGAAAGAAAGAACAGTAAATATGTGAGAAGTGATGATGCAAACTTGCTCACTGGAAGGTAGAGTTCAGACCCTTTAACCCTTTGTGCTAATTTGGGCATGTTTGTGGCTCACAAAGAGGTGAGAGCGTATATGATGTCGTCTAAATAAATAATATGTATATATCTGAAAAATACAGTAAGTTTACTGAAGGGTATATTCTTCACCTCCCTTATATCCTTCTTCTACCTAAAAAATAGTTGAACACTTTGTGTCCATAACGAGCTCTGTAACACAGCCCATGACTTAAGAAAAATCTAAAAGACTTTGTAGAATATGACTATCAAAAATAAATTCTCCTTCTTGGTACCAAAAACACTCAGAGCGTGTTATCAGTGGCAGTGCTTCACCAGAGCAGGCTCTTATTCCTCCCGTGAAGTGCAGCCACATCCTACCTGCTACTTAGTCGGGACTGTGTTCATCTCACCGGTGTGCCAGTGGGATGAGAAGCACATTAAATGAAGCACTTCTATTAAAATTGCACAAATGCTCACTTCAGTCTATTCAACAAAAAGTGGCCTTTGAAAACTTC